ATGGAAATCTTACAACTAGTAGTATCGCAATATTGTATCGCCCATTGCTTCTAGTCTAGGGGGCCATTTAAGCAGACCAGGGCTCCATGGTATTTAAGCTCCTATAGTGCAAAAGACGCAAAACCGCATCTCACAGTTTGGTTGAACAAAGGCATGCACAAGTCTAAAAGCCACCATTAGTAAACGGAAACATACAAGAAAAAATTTAACTCTTCTGGGCTACACTCTGAGTCATAAGAAAGTCTACAGCTCTTGAGAAAAAAACTCTTCCTGGATTTAAATCGGCAAAACATCAGTTCACTATGATGCTTCTTGAGAATGCTGTCAGTGGCTGCAAATTATAGCCAATTCTGATCTATCGGTCAGAGAATCCATGAACTTTGAAGAATAAGTTCAAAGCTGGACTTCCAGTGACGCTGAAATTTAATGCTAAGGCATGGGTCACTGATTCTGTCTTTGAGGACTGGTTTGGCCACAATTTCATCCCTGACACAGAGCGCTATTATTGCTGATAGAAAATACCCTTCAAAGTGATACTAATTCTCGACAACGGTCTAGGGCATCGTCCAGCAACTCTGATGAACTTTGATCCTCGAGTGAAAGTGCTGTTTTGCCTCCTAATACAAAATGTTTGATTCAGCCAATGGACCAGAGTGTGATTAAAACATGTAAGGTTTACAATACCTGATGACTCTTTGCCCCAGTTGAATGCAGCTATGCAACAAAACAATGAGATGAATGCGAAAAATTTCTGGAATACTATTAATGTTTTGGCTTCAATGAGGAAAACAGGATAATCATGGGCTGAATTTTGCAAAAAGCCCACGAACGGTGTATGGAAAAAGTTTTGTTCATTCCTATTTAGTAAAAACTAGATCACGGATCCAGAAATTGATCACGTTGCTGCAACAATAGAAGAAGTGATCGCTCATGCTTCAGAACCTGATTTGGAGAATGACGCTCAAAATGTCATGGAGCTATTAGCCTGTTAGAACAAACAGCTCACTGTAAATGATATTATAGAAATTGATAACCAAAATGCAGTCGAGTCAGCTGAACAAGTTGAGATGAAACGGATCATCACGATGAAAGCTTGAATATTAACGGAAGACCTTTAACAGATTGAGGCCGGTATGAAGGTTCTAAAAAATTGATTCGAATGAAGATCGAGCAGTAACTGCTAGACAACGCATAAAGGAGACGATAGTCGATTACAAAGAAACTTTATTGGAGAAAAAAGTCTTTATCATGCCAGACTTCGCTCCTTAAAATCATCCTCTTTTAAAGAATGTTGCATGATCATTTTATTATGCTTAATGTGCATTTTTGCACTGAAAACATTATAATTTACCTAAATTGCTGCATTTTTATTGATCGAACTGACTGCCAAGAACCAATTATGTCACCTTTTATGGAATTACATGAACTTTTCCATCTCGACTCACGTCATTTCGACTTAAGTCGCTGACTGTGGAACTACCCATGACGAAACTTTGGGGGTATTACTGTATTTACACTGCACGGTCAACTTATTATGTGATATTTTAGGTTTGCTTCAGTTATTCATCTGGAACCATCTTTCTGCAATGGCTGGAGTAGCAGAAAGTCCACAGTGTTTTAAGGATGCACCGGCCAAATTTAAATTTTATCGATGCAGAATGAAGGGAGAAAAGTGGGTTTTAGCAATGAATTAAAAACGCTCAAAAGCTACCTGTTCCATCTGTCAAGTATGTGCCGCCTACATCCCGGAAGGAAGTGGTAGCAAAGGTAAGAGGTCGGCTTCATACTCGGACTCCGGATATGCCGAATTCGATTTCCATGACGAGCAATTTTTTCCTCTGCTCTGAATTCCGTTGAGCAAGTAATTTGCCACAAGTTGCTTCAGATCGGCAGTGGCAGACTCATAACCGAGAGGTCCTAGGTTCGAGCCTGGGTCGGAGTCACATCGTTTAATTCTGAGGTTGAAAATGAAAGTGACTGAGGAGGACGACTTGCCAAATGACTGCTGCCGATTCTTATTTTAAAAAATTAGACACTTCTTCCTGTGATGACAGAAATTTAGATCCTCTACCCACCAATAACTTCATGAAAATACGGATGCTAGAACTGGCGTCATCGTGTAAGTGTAAGAAAGACCGATACACTAAAGGCTATCAACATTCCACTTTTGTCTCTATCCTGCCATCTTTTCATTCAATGGAGAGTTATGACAGGTTGGGTGACGTAGGAACAGATCAATGCTCAACTGAATGGAAACTTTCCATTCCTTTCTTTCTCCACTCGACTAAAGTATGCTGACATCATCTTTAACGCCTACGTAAGCAAAGAGAGAGACGTGTTCGATGTCTGTATAGAGGAGGGCCAATGTGATCACAAAATAACTGCCAGAAGGAAAAAAATCTCAAGGAGACGGGTGTTGAAGATAGCGTCAGGAGTGAAGTAAGAGACAACACCCTCAAGGCAGGCTAAACGTGTCTTATTTCAGATTAAAATCTTATACTGAATTTCATAAAAGGATCAAAGAACTCACGCCCCGCTTAAATACCAGGGAGCTGTAACCCGCTTAAACTGCCCCACCCCACAAGGCCACACAGAGCAAGTGGCAGTGCAATATGCCGTGAAATCAGCTCTAGGAGGGGTTATGCGTAATTTTATACTGGACTATAAATAGGCTTGCTATTAGTACTTGCCGAACACACCGGTCGAACACCCCGGGGACAGCTAAGAATAACCTCGGGAAGCGCACGTAAAGACTCTGATCCAGACTCGCGTAATCTTCTGTTAACCGTGGTACAAGATTGGTAACGTTGGAGACACACTCTGACACATGTTTAGAGGCGACTACCGAAACTGAATGATTGACTAATAAGTCTCTTCCACCAACATACTACAATATTAACAATGACCTGATCAGTGATGTACGGCGGTGAGCAGCGCTGTAATCATGAGTTACTAAGCAGCAGTTAGAAAAGTTATCGGTAAATCATTAAACGGACAAATCCAAAATAGTAAGCAAATATAAGTATGCAAGACAATAGGCAATTTACCAATAAGACTATGTAGTTACCCTTTCATATTCCCAATAGTGAGGCTCGTATCCTTCTGGAATATCGGTCAGTTCACATTCGCCTAAACGCACAAATAAAGCTTTTCGGACATAGCTTCAAGTCATAATTGCCAAGCCCAAGTTTTGGCACACCCTTCGAACAGCAGTCTTACACAATATATGGAATAACAAGAAAGAAATTATGCCGGAAGATGAGAAAAAAGCACGAAGTCAAAAGGAGTATTTCAGTAAGTAAGTAATGGAGAGGTTCGTCCGAAAGTCGTCCTTTATCGCCTTGCCCTGATCTGTATCTGCATAAAGCAAATGACCAATAAGTGATGAGATCTATTGCTCATAATTCTTTTAGCAGTACCAACCGGCTTTAACCGATGACAAGAGGGACCAGCTTCATGTTCGTTTTCCATGCAGAGGATGATGAGGATCGTTACTTCAAAACTGACAAGGTAAGTAGATTTCATGACATTTTCAATCACGTCCGACTTGATGCATAGTAGCCGGTTTCGCCGGCCACGCCATTTATACCACTCTTAGGAGATAACCTAGGTAACAAGCTTTCCTATATAACATAAGAGTTTGTGTCAAGACTGCCAGTAACATCCCATTTAACTGTTCTATGTTGCGTCCAAACAGAGACAGAATATTACTGATTACTGCCAAAGATCTATTAAAATTCTATCTATTTTAAGTAAGGACCGAAACTTCTTAAGTGTGAACAACTGGCGATTTCTGCTGGAAAGGCCTTTGTCTGACAGCTACGCCA